GCCTATAGTAAAATTGATCTTTAACATCTTCATTGTAGTCGTTGGTGGACGCCTAGCATTGGATGACAATCATTACCATATCCTCTTTCATTGTTTTGAAGGAGGCTTCGATGATCCTGGGTCTATGAGACTCCCATCCTATAAATGCATTTTGTGCATGTTTGGATAGTATCGGTGAAACACTTTGTGTATGTGGTGAATTTTCTTCCTCATGGTCGGAGTATAACAGAAGCTCCCCAGAAGCTAGTCGTTGTTGTACAACCTGCGCCATATGTGTTCCACTGATCCCAAGCACCCCGAAGGTTGTATCTCCTCATTTCTGCAGCAATTTGGAAGACTCTTCTGGTCTCACACATTGTGCGGATGTTCCACCGTACCTATAAAAATTGTTGTCCTGGTTGTCATAAGGGGCATCGGCCTCGTGACTACCGAAGGAACTCGGCTTTCACCATGATACGTCACAATTCTTCTATTCTTCTTCTATATTAAAATACCTAATTACTTGACGCCTGTCATTCCTCTTGGAGGAGCATGGGCCGCCCACAGGCATTTGCCATCCAACCCTGTACTGGGAAATCGTTCCGGGACATTTCTAGTTGTTATTCATCTTTTTCATATCTGCCTCCCATTGCCAACGTATTGTGTTCTTCATACGTCCTTACCCGTTTTCCTTCACGAATTCAAGGGTTGCGTTGTATTGCAGTTTAATTTCCAATATGTATGTCCGATCCACATCTAACGTCTTTTCCCAATTTCCTCTTCAGCTGGAAGCTGGTTTGTTCTCTCCCATAGTGGGCTGTTGCTGATGGTATCCAGTCAACGGACATTGAGCAACTTACGTAGACAATTGTTCATAAGTACTTGTACTTTTGTAATGATGATGGTTGTAGTAGTTCTCCAAGTTTCAGCTCCGTTTAGTAGGACTGTGTTGACGTTCGTATTGAAGATTCTGACTTTGATATTGGTTGACAGTTGTCTTGATTTCCATATGTTTTTCGATTATAGCAGTGCGGCCTTCGCTAAACCAATCCTTGCCTTTGCGTCTACATCAGATCCTCCTTGTTCATCGGTGATGCTTCTCAGATACGTGAAAGTTTCTATCTCTTCCAGAGCTTCCCCATTAAGTGTGATTGAGTTGTTCTCCGTGTTGCAGCATTTGAGGATCATACTTTTTTTCTTGTTTATGTTGAGACCTACTGATGCAGAGACTGCAGCTACACTAATTGTCTTCATCTGCATTTGTTCGTGTGTATGAGATAGAAGGGGTAGGTCATGTGCGAAGTCCAAATCTTCCGATTGATTCCGAGCTATCCATTGTATTCCGTGCTTCCCCTCAGATGTGGAGGTCTTCATAATCCAGTCGACCACCAGAAGAAAGATGAAGGGGTAGAGTAAGTAGCCTCATCTGACTATGGTCCTCACCCAGAATGTGTCTGTCGACTGTCCTCCATGCACGACTTTGCAGTGTAGTCCGTCGTATGAATTTCGGATGACGTTGACGATCTTCCGAGTTACACCATAGTGTCGAACAAAGTTCCACAAGGTTCTCCTATCCACGCTGTCAAACACCTCATAGTCAAGGAAGTTGATGTATAGTGACGAATTCCACTCAACTGATTGTTCCACGATGATCCGTAGTGTTGCGATTCGGTCTATGCCTAACCGATCCTTACGGAATCCAGCCTGTTGATCTCGAATTTGGGCGTCTACTGCTTTTTTCATCCGGTTCAGCAGCACTCCGTTGAATTTTTTTCAATTACTGACAGCAAACTGATGCCTCTGTAGTTCTCACACTTGCTCAAATCTCCTTTCTTTGGTATCTTGATGAGGTATCCTTCTTTCCAGTCTGTTGGCACTTGTTCCTCCCCCCAGTCTTTTTGAATAGAAGGTGAGGCATTTTTGCAGTTACTCCTGTTTCTGACTTCAGTGCTTCACAAGGGGGGTTTTGTGGAGATTTAGTAATTTTATAGTTAAGATCATGAGTCAGTGCTTCATCTGGTACGTCGTCAGGTCCTGCTGCTTTCCCAATACTGATTTGTCTGATGGACATCCTGATTTCTTCGATCGTCGGTGGAGTGACAGATATAGGAAGGTCAGTGTATGCTGCCCCGATGTCCGATGGATTCAATGGAGCTGGTCTTCTCAACATTTCCTCGAAGTATTCTACCCATCTTTTTCTCTAATCTTGAATCTCCGTGATTGTAATGCTTTCTTTGTCCTTGACCGGTATCTCCTGTTTATTATATCTTTCTCCTAGCTTCTTCGTTGTATGGTATAGTTGTTTCATATTCCTTTCTCTTGCATCTTTTTCCGTCGTCGTTGCTAGTTCTCCCATGAATTTCTGCTTGTCGGCTTTGATGCTCTTCTTCACTTGCTTGTTTGCTTCTGCGTACTCTGCTTGTGCCTTGACTTTCTGTGTTCGTTTTCGACTGTTGTTAGTTGCTGTCCAGGGTTCCCATAGAGATCCATTCCTTGTGATGATGCTTCTTGCGACCCAGAACCTCCTGACACGTTGAAGTTAGTGCTTATTTGATCCCTTTCCAATTGTCGTCCATCATAGTTTCTTCTTCTTTCAGTAGATCTTGTAAAGCTTGAAACCTGTTGTTGACAGTTATTTTGGAGTGATTGAGTTTGTTGGTATCTTGAAGGAAGGCTGTATTGAACCTTTGTAATTATGTTTCTCCAGTTGTCCAGTGTTTCTTTAGCTTCGGTTTCATCTTGGCCACAACCAGGTGGTGATCTGAAGCTATGTCAACTCCTCTCCTGATTATCACATCTTCCATTGTCCTTCGGAATTTTTTGTTGATACAAATATGATCAATCTGGTACTCTGTGTTGGGATCCGGCGAGACCCATGTAGCTTTGCGCATGTATTTGTGTGGAAATATTGTGCCGCCTATAACAATTTTGTTGAATGCACGTGGATTTGCAAATCTCTCACCTTTTTCTTTCTCGCTCCCAATCCATGTAGTCTCATGATATCTTTATATCCGGTGCTATCCATTTCGACTTTGAAGTTTAAGTCTCGTATCAGGATGGCGAGGTCCTTTGTTGAGCACTTAGCTATGATTATTTGAAGATTCTCATAGAACTGATCTTTATCCTCGTTGTTGCTATCATTGGTGGGTGCATAACATTGGATGACATTCATTGCGATCCCCTACTTTGTTTTGAATGATGCTCCGATAATTCTGACTCCATGATATTCCCATCCTACAAGTGCATTTCGTGCTCCTCTGGACAGCATTAGAGCAACTTCCTGAGTGTGTCGAGCATTTTCCTCTTCGTGGCCAAAGTACTGCAGCATCTCTCCCAAATCTAGCCTTTGCTGTCCGGCTTGTGTCCGATGGGTTTCGCTGATTCTAAGTACTGCTAATTTGTATCTCCTCATTTCTATTTGATTGGTACTCCCGGTCTTCCGCATTGTCCGGACGTTCCATGTATCTATAAAAATTGTTGCTCTGGTTGTTAGAAAGGGGCATCGACCTTATGACTTTCTGAGAATCTCGGTTTTCATCCTGAGGCGTCACAATTATTCCTTTAACTCCCAGGACAGAGATTAAATGATTTGAATTATTTTTTCTGGTTAGCGTTTTTTTAGCGAGTTAGTTTTCCAAGGGATGGGGTAGCTGATATCATGCCCAACCCTCCTCCTTTACATGGCCTTGGGATCGGCAGTAACTTTGGAAGAGCCACATGCGTAGTTAATACTATAGTACATGTGAGCATTAATATGCAGAATGATATAAAAATGGGTTAAGATAAATAAAAACCAATCGCTTAGGTCATGGTGGGCGAGAATTATTAACAGACTAAGCTTTTAGTCAATCTCCTCAATGTGGAATACAATTCTCGTTTGGTATTGGTGCTACTGTAAAAATGAACGTAATCCCGAAATTGTAGATTTGTCGTCGTGTGACTACCTAATTTATAAATTCCTACGCGCGAGTCACACCATTATTTAAACTGACTGGTATCACGACAATCAGCGATACGATGTCTGGCAGTTAGGATGAACACATTTTGGCTGCGGGTAGAATAATATATTTAATGTATCTGGGTATGTATTACAGAAGAATGACCACGCCTAGTAAACTCAGTCATGTCATATCGACCTGTTGTCACCTCGTCTATGACTTCTGACTTTCTGTATTGTGTTAAACATTGATTTTTTCAGTTATCCCGTATTCAACTTCAAGGATTGTATTATTCAGACAAGTACCGCTACAAGTTCATGAATTTGGACGACAACGCAACAAAGGCACTTTCCACAATTACGGAAATTATCTCAAGACAACTATACTCGCACACCAGGACCTCAAATACCCACTAGTTTCTCAGTAGACGCATCCGATTCCACAATGGGAGCCATGAAACAATTTGTAAGCAACTCTTGGCAGCGTTTGGCATTCTTCTCGAGACGGTTGCAAGACATTGAATCGACGTATGACACTTTCGACAAGGAACACCTGGCCATGTATTGTGTTGCACTACACTTTCAACATTTGTGGTGTTATTGATTCCTAACCACACAATTCTTGAAGCTGAACATTGAATCACTGAGAAGACTGATATCCAACATGTAACACTTAGAGGAAGTCGGTAATGTTGAAGTCGTGGACAATGAATCGAGATGTCATGGCTCAGTCGTGCGGACGTGGTCACTCCACGTAAGCTTTTGTTTTTTATGTGCAGTATACAACTCACTATTAGGCCTAGAAACGTGTTCTTCAGCAGTGTTAGACCTGCTGGCTGTCATGATATGACGATTTAGTGTACATAATGATGTGACTACCACGTAGCTACTTAAATTAGATAGTCACATCACGACAAATCTACAATCTTAGAATTGGATCTATTATTATAGTAGTAATAACACCAAACTATACAATAATTTTACACATACTTATAACAGTTCTGACAGTACGTAGGAGCGTGGTTTGCATTTTATCAGCAGAAAACATGATTTTAACTCGACACGCGAATATTGTGTTTTGCAAATGAGTGATCATTCGAAAGTATCCATGTAGCTTTCAAGAGAATAATAGGGCCTGACAACTGACATAGTAGACTATTCGATTAAATACAGATGGCATTTTCTATTACGTTTAATCCGAAATAATTATTTAAATCCCTTGATATTGTGTGGAAGGCTAAGAATCCATTACATTTACCGACCACAGACCTCTCTTCAAATGCGTCTCCCGAGTCCCGACAATCGAACTACATCCTGCAGTTTACTTCAGATATACAACACATTTCTGGTGCAAACAATGTGGTGGCAGACGTCTTATCTCGTATAACTTCCTTGAACAGTTTCCAAAGAATCGACCTTCTTCAATTCACTTAGCTTCAAAAATAGGACACTGATCTTCAAACTCATAGTTGAATGGTTTTGCTCGCCTGATATGAATAAAGGCGTGAGGGAGTTGGCACACTACTGTGTAAGCTGCCAGAAATCTAGGATCATTAGACACAACAAATATCCCTTAGGCTCGTTCCAAACTCCTGATGCTCGTCTCCACCACGTTCATCAGGATTTAGTAGGACCTTTGCCATATTCAAATGAATACTCTTATCACTTAACCTGCGTAGACCGTTTCATACGATGGCCAGAAGCAGTACCTATTAGGGACATTACTGCTGAGAAAGTAGCCTTCGTCTAACGATGGGTAGCGAATTTCGGCTGCCCTTCAACCATCACTACAGACTGCGGACGCAAGTTCGAATCTCAACTTTTCCATTGTCTGACCACATTAATAGGAATCACGAACTTCTGAACGAGCGCCTACCACCCACAAGCAAACGGGTCATTAGAACGTTTTCACCGACAACTAAAAGCTTCACTATCAGCTGCAAACGTTTCAAAGTGGACCGGTGCTCATCCACTCATCTTAATAGGTATTCGTAATGCAGTGAAAGCTGACATTGGGTATACTGCAGCTGAACTCGTTTATGGAACGACACTCTGACTTCCAGGAGAATTCGTGGATCTTTCATCTTCTTCAATGAACATGGATCTAAACTCCTACATGAGCAGGCTTACAAACGCAATGCGTTCAGTTAAATCTGACTACACTTATTATTATTGTTATTTTTATACACATAAATATTGGTACAAACGGGTACTAGATATATATGTGCCACACAAATCTCATTTGATTTGTGTGAGGGCTATGATAATGTCCGGGTGCCTAGACTGAAGCAGGTGGTATTTTAGGGGACACAATCAACCTAAAGGTCTGATCTACAAGGCAGTGGAGCAGGAGGCGCAATCGCATGGTAGTCGGTAACCAACAACTGATTCATACACCATTTGTTCCATCAGGATACTGGAGCCCATGTACACTATTGGTTTGGAATAAGGGTTTTCCAACTACCCTAAGTGGACTTTCCGTGTCCACTAGCCCGGTTAAAGCGCCGGACATTCGCTTTTCGTCCTCTCAATTTCGTAAAAAACAGTAGGGCTACGAGCAAGCAGTGAGTAGGACATCCCTAGCAGAGGCTATATAATCTTACACTTGACAGCAGTCAACATCTCGACTCACTTCATTGACTCACAGCATTGACAGTCTCAAAGCCTCGTATTTGGAGTGAGATCCTCATAATGTTCATTTTTCCTCAATATACGCGAAAAGTACGAGTTCCGAAATTACGATACACCACTCGATAATCAACAGTAACGAAAAAATTTCTCAACTATCCCATATCTGGTCTAAAACCATGTGCTCTGGAAGTACGGAATGGTTTCTAGAACACTTCAACGATTTCTACACATAAAATACTACGCAAAACTCTGTGTTGTGTCGGTTTTTTAGTGCAATGGTGTCAAAATTTCACAAATAAACACTTTTTCCAATATTCTCCTACATATGAGCACATTTTTTCTCTAAAGAGATATCCGAAAAATATCAGTTTTCTAAATTCGTTTAAAACTCTGTAATCTATAGAGAAACAGGACATCTCAATCTTTAGTTGGTTCGGGCTGTGAAATGTGTTTAGTCATGTTAAATTACCGGCCATATTAAAAGTTCTCCGTCATCTTGTTTTGCCCTTGAGGACTGGTCGACAATTTTGTTATCAAGTTGCGAGTTGTAGGGTTGGTTGCGCTGTAACGTTCCGTTAATAATGTGATAAAATTGTGCTTACTATTGATTCAGAGTAACTATCGCCGACGATCTTCTGGTAAGAATATTTTCTCGTATCATTTTTTGAATGAATTAGATGTCAGAACCTCAAGAACATACCAAGCTCAATTTTTTTAATCTGAACTTAGGCGCATGGAATAATGGTTCTAATATGGAACTAGTTAATAATAGCATTTGGCCTCTCAATTCGGACTCTAACTCTTCTCATAACAAACTGGGCAACATGGGTAAACTGTATACGGTTAATTTTTCTAAGCTCTTCCAGCCCCTAAACAACCCGAAAAACTATCTGTCGACTCCAAACTGAATTCTACAAGTATAAATATGTTAGGTTTTAATCTTATTGTTTACAGTTTCTTGGTCTCCTAATAATCATTTGAGACCCTCTAACAAAATGTCCATTTGGTCGAGTGATATGGAAGTATCAGAAGCAAAGTCATCACGCACTCATAACCAACTTTGGGAAAGTTCAGCTAAAGAGAGTATTCCACTTATCTATGATGATGTAAGTCACTTGTTTTTGAAACTATACGATAGGTCTGGGACTCATCTCACGATCCTGTGTTTCAAGCGCCAAGGGTTACTAGTGATTTTGATTCTTGGAAGTTTTGTCCAACACATTGTATTGGTTCTCCCACAGATACACCTGTTACTATTGCGGATTCGGGCATCACGGCTGATACATCCAGGTCTTCCGACTTAACTCATAGCAGCCAAGCTAGTAGCCTTTCTTATGTTACTGCAATGCTTTCTGGCCTGAATCTTACGCCTAGAAACCCTGATGAATCACGTAAGTTCTCTTAGTTTAACCCATCACGACATGTCGTATCTTTTTAAACCTATAAATCTGTACCTCAGAGGGTCTTGTTATTTCAGTCAAAGTTAGGATGTATTTGGACTGTTAAATGCAACAGACGGTTCAAGCTTCCGGTTTCATATTATAATCCTGCCAAAGTGCTGCAGTGCCAACATTACATGTGTACAAACCTCAGTGTTTCCGCTTCATTCGAAACCCAAAACATCCATTCTTAAGTCCACTGTGTCTCCGAAACACGCATACAGGATCCCAGTGTAGTCATTCACTTGACCTCACCTCGCCAAAATGGACAGCTAACAAAATACACCCTCCGTGTATCTGGCGACCCCATGACTAGTTCTCGTGGACTTTCAGGTGTAGGCATAGCACTTAGTACAAGGGCAAAACAAGCACTACTAGGATGAGTCCCCGTTAACAGTCGCCTGTGTTGTCCGGCTAAATGGCTCCGTAAGAACTCGGAAAAGTAGGGACACACATCGTTGCCTTTCCGTCGTTTCTGCCTACGCTCCCACTGACTGCAGACATGATGAAGTGAAAGATGACTTTTACAGAAAGCTCTCTGAACTTCTTCAAAAAGCTAAGCGCTCAGACATAGTACTCGTTTCGGGTGACTTTAATGCCCAATTAGGCAGCTTAAATCAAACAGAAAGACATTTAAGTGAGTATTTTAGTATTCCGGCTCAACGAACCAATAATGGTGATCGTCTGTTGCAACCATGCTCAGACAATCGTTTATTTTTAGCAAGCACTAATTTTAAGCATAAGGAGAGACATCGTCTAACATGGTGACCACCTGCACCAAACCGACAATGGACTCAAATAGACCATATTGCCATTAGTCATCGTTGGAGATGCTCGATAGAAGATTGTCGCTCGTTCTGGAATATATGTTTAGACTCTGATCACGATTTAATACGAGCGTGCATTTGTCTGCGCCTCAATGGACGCAGGAAAAGTACACTAAGAAGACCCATTAGGATTGAACTGGAGGACGAGAAAGCCAAATGCGAATTCCAGAAACAACTAAGTTCACATCTAGGCAGTTCTGTAAACAAGACTGACACAGATGCTCCTTGGAAAGACATACGAACAGCTGTGGAAACAGCAGTAACATCTACTAGTCATTTAAACCATAGGGCTCCAAAAAACCAATGGATTTCTTCTACGTCTATTTCACTGATGGATTCTCGCAAACTCATCCCATCAGGCTCTGAACATGACAAAGAGCGTAAAGAAATTAGATCTAGGTTAACTGAAAGTCTAAGGAACGATCGTGGGTAGTGGTGGGCAACGGAAACGAAATAAATGGGAAAGGTAGCCGCAGTAGGCAACATCAAACAACTCTTCAGACTAATAAAAGAAACCGGAACTAGGAAGTCAATTGTAAGCGAGACAACCTCGGAAAAAGACGAAACTTTTATGTGCTCTCAGCCCAGACGTTCAGAGCGATGGGCGGAACACTTCAGCTTTTTGAAGAAGTTCAGGGAGCTTTCTGTAAAAGTCATCTTTCACTTCATCATGGCTGCAGTTAGTGGGAGCGTAGGCAGAAACAACGGAAAGGCAACGATGTGTGTCCCTATTTTTCCGAGTTCTTACGGAGCCATTTAGCCGGACAACACACAGGTGACTGTTAACAATGAAGTAGGTCCCCTGACTCTAGTTGAAGTTCAAAAGCCTATAGCTAATCTGAAACGAGGAAGAGCAGCTGGTCCATATGGATTGGCTCCAGAGGTCGTTAAATATGGTGGTCCAATTTTAGCGACTAGGTTGACTAATATTCTGGCTAAAATCTGGGAGTTGGACGTAATCCCATCCGACTGGTCACAATCACTGATTGTCCCAATAAAAAGGGCCATAATCATCCTGTGATAACCATAGAGGGATTAGCTTGACTAACATAGCATCTAAAATACTAGCCTCAATAATTATCGGGTCCTAGCTAAGACTCGTGAACTGCAAACAAGAGAAAATCAGGCTGGTTTCAGACCTGGTCGTGGCTGCATCGACCACATATTCACTTTTCGTCAGGTTTTAGAACACAGGCATGTTTATCGGCGTCCGACAATAATAGTTTTCCTTGACTTGAAAGCAGCATTTGACTCTGTAGACCGAGAGGCTCTGTGGCAGTGTCTGTGACTGAAAAGTGTACGTTAGTACTACATAAACCTTTTGAAGGCTTTTTGCTCGAACACTACCAGTCGAGTGAGAGCTTATGGCAAACTGTTATTTGATTTTACAACCTCAAGTGGTGTCCGACAAGATTGTCCACTATCCCCATTTTTGTTTAACTTCATTATAGACCTATTGCTGGAAATAACGCTCTCGTCGACTGAATTTCCGGGTTTCGATCTCCTACCAGGAGGTCCACTTATCGACCTAAAATACGCAAACTGCATAGTCCTGTTTGGTGAAGACGCTGACAAAATGCAGGGTCTTCTGTTAGAACTGAGTAATAATGCCAGGATGTTTGCGTTGCGTTTCTCCCCATCCAAATGTAAATTGTTACTCCAGGACTGGCCTGCATCAACACCTGAACTAAGGATAGGGGGTGAAGTAGTCGAACGCGTCGACAACTTCACTTAACTTGGAAGTCTGATCAGCCCTAATGGGTTGGTGTCTGACGAAATCTCTGCACGGATTCAAAAAGCTCGTTTGGCTTTTGCCAACTTACGTTACCTATGGCGAAGACGAGATATCCGTCTATCAATTAGGGGACGAGTACACTGCGCAGCAGTTCGTTCTCTTCTACTTTACGGCTGTGGAACGTGGCCATTAAGAGTAGAAGATACTGTCAAGTTACTAGTATTTGACCACAGATGCCTTAGAAATATTGCTCGCATCTGCTGGGATAACCGGGTAAGTAATAGTGAGGTTCGACTCAGGGTATTAGGAAATGATGGTAAATCGGTTGATGAGTTTGTGAATCTTCATCGACTGAGATGGTTGGGCCACGTGTTACGTATGCCTGAACACCGATTACCACGACGCGCTATGCTGACTAATGTAGGGGATGGTTAGAAAAGAGTTAGGGGCGGCCAAACCAAAACGTGGAATCAGTGCTTGAAGTCACTAGCTTCTGATCTGAGCCATGTTGGCAGATTCAGACTACCTGGTTGGGGTCCGCATGACTAACGTAACCAATGTTTGGAGACTCTGTGTGACGTCTCAGAATCGACCACAATGGCGTAGGTATATACACTCTCTGTCTTCTCTTAAACTATAAGATTAAAGTTGCATCATATCTTCCTGTACTATTTCCTTACATGCAATCTTTCCTTCATATACTACCACCATCAAATTAACTACGTCAATGAATTCGGTGTCCATCTTGTTATCCTAATGAGGTATGGCAACTTGTACTGGTGCATATATGTGCCTGGTCCTACGTTGTAACTGACTGACTGGTAATATCGAGCTGCAGTTGACTTCGATCACCACTACAGACCAATCACTTGCCAATTACCAGGTTAAATCCCTCAGTACGATAGATATTAGGACGGTTGTAGATTGTAGTTGGGATATATTTATTGGTGATCTCGTATCGAAATAATATCGAGATCGTGTTAAACAGGCTGCCGTGAGTATGTTAGTTCAAGGTCACAAACCGCGGAGAAAGTGTTTTTTGGAACAATTAAACGAAAATGTGCAGTAAAACAATCACTGGTGCAGTTGGTTACAATAATAGATGTTTCCATTACACCAACCGCGTTCTCTTCATAAAAGTAGATCACTACAGTCTAAATTAAATGATTTAGACAGTAGCTGACCGACTGTACTGCTTTTCAAATCTGAGAGCAGTTCAGTACTGACTCATTTGTAATATGAATATTAACCCGTCTCCAACTAAATTTCAAAACTGACTTCTCATACTTTGTTTTAAAAGTATCCATCTTGATAGTTAAACCTCACATTCTAAAGGTGTCACACAAGATTGGACTAGCGGACGTTAAAGATAATCGACACAAATACAGAGAAATGTATTAAGCAATTGTGTGACTAGTAACAATAGTGTGATAATATGGTTTCATCATTTTTGTCCTATGAGACTTAAGGAAGTGGTGAGAAACAATGATACTCAAGGCGGCATACTATTTGAACACCTAGTAAAATAGATTTGGTACTGAAAAACCCTAAATGTTATCGCAGTCGGTTGACTTTAGAGCAAGGGCAAATATTTTTCACTTAGTGTTGTGTCCCGATAACAATAGTGAATGGTTACTTTGGCATCCATCTATGGACCAGTATTATACATATATTTTTTATCGTATAATTGATAAATAACTAAACTATTCATACTCATGTTCCCTTTATGGTAAGCTTTATTCTGACCTATATGCTATTATTGTAAGATTCACCATTCTTGAGTTATCCCTAGTCTATTAATTGCTGTCTCCCACATTCACAGCCATATTTGGCTAAATCTTGTACAAATGTTATTTCCTATTTTATTGGTACGATGTAGTCAGTCTGTTAGGTATATAAATTCAGTATGTTTGAAATGCAATTATACCGCAGAGGCTGTTATTGATGTTCTGGAGTTAACTGATTGGGTTAGGCAAAAGCAGAACCGATAAGCACTCTAGACTGCTCGTACGGTTTTCGTGTGTCACTGTTCCAATCGATAATTCGCTGCTCTCTGATTGGCGGTTTTGTCACGTCATACGTTAACAAGGCATCCACTCGGCCACAAGTTATAACACTTAGACTGATATTGTCGTAAGTGACTAGTCTGTAATATGTCAGAATCAATGCACAGCAAAGTGAAGTGTGCACCTATGTTATCAAATAGATAGGTTTTATTTCGTTTCCTTGAATTAATCACGAACAGTTTCATCTATTCACTAGGTCTTAAATAATCCTACAGACTAAAACCTGTTTAAGGTTTGTCTATCTTATGGTAGCAACTTTGCCAGTCGACTTACAATTATACAATAGGTCATGTTGTGTACAAATGTCCTGAATTTGAATCCCCTTGTTTCACAAAATGTGATCTGACCAAGCTATACGTTTTACAGCATCGTATCATGAACTGATTTCGCAATCATGGGCAACATCGACGTCAAAAAATACCCTTATTTTCCAATTTGGGTCTTTTTTTGTCATAATGGTTTGTTGCGTTTCAGACTTTATCACTATGGTACCCCGAGTTTTATCTTTTGTATTTTGAGCCATTAACAACTATGATAGTTGTATTGTAATGTGGTACACACGCTGATGTGGAAAACCCGGAAAGTACAATTAACTCTCTGGACTTCTGAAATGCCACCGTAAACTTAAGTTCAGCCAGAGACAAAACCTACTTAGTACTAGATCAAATATTGTGGTATTTTGCCCTCAGTTTTCAGTTTCTGCATTGGTATTTCAGTTCACTCATCTTTAACTGTAGCTTGGTGTATTTAAAAAGTTGGTGTTCACTACATACTGAATTGAACCGACTGAAAATATATATTCAGGTAGATTATACGTTAGTTCTTTAAATAATAATCTGTTAATGTGGAAATTGTTTTTGTTTCAGCGTCTCAAGTTAAAACGTCCGTTGGCTGTGCTAACGAGAATGACATTGCGTTCTCAACGGAACAACTCTGTGACCGACTTATCAATACAAACGAGGGTTGGGGGCGACGACCAATTGATCAAGCAACACCTTGGGAGCCGTTAGATTTAAAATTGAGTGACCAAGTGAATCGCAGTGGCATAACTACACCTACACCGGGGGCTTGCCCTTCTGGGTATGTAAGTGGAAGGATATCTCATATCCACTCAACTGATTCTAACGTTTGGGCAAGTGGACCACCAACAGGAACAGGAATATGGGAAATGCATTATGAAAGTTTAGGTGGATGCTCGGCTGCTTGGCAGGAAGAATCACATTCCTCGGCTTACCGTGATGTTTCGTCTGCTACTCATATTAATTCTAATGCTTTAATAAACTGTAACATGAACGCCAATTCTCGTGGTGCAACACCAATGCCACTTAACAACCGTCTTAATACTTGTCGAGATTGGGAAGGTAATGGAAATAGTAAGCACTAAGTAGTTTAAATTGTTCATTCTGATTTACGTACTATGTATTTTTAAAAGCCTGATTTAAAATAAGTGTATAAGAACAAATGTATCATTCTTTTAGTTTATAGCCGTTATCTATCGTTGATTTGTTGCATTTGTACTTACACTTTTGAGCATTTGTGCACGTTTCGATTTCCACTAGTTGGCGGTTGTATAATATATGGTAGATCTGAACTCTATAAAGAGCGTGGAAATCGCTCCAAGGTCCCAGTACACATATCAATGCACTACTTTTTTTTACCCATAGTGAAATAGAGGAAAAAGTTAGCTTTAGTGTTTTCATCACGGACTTTCAGGCTGTAATGCAAAAATGCTTTGTGGTTATATTCACGGATAAATTTTACTCAATGCAAGAGGCATTACCTTCAGTCTATCGGTTGGCAATGTGGGTCTACCCGTATCTCAGACCTTACTTTGTTAATGAAGTCATTCTAGATCTACATAAACTATTCATTCATGCGTAATATTTCCTGGTTGTCTAAATGGGTCAATGAGATATAAGGTAATGCCTCTTCAGTTCTTGGGATAAGTTTATCAAACTATATAACTAAACATTCTTGCATTGTAGGTGGGGTGAATCTGTGATGTAAACCTTCAACCTAACTCTAACTCCCTAGTCTTAGCACCGTAAATCATTTCTATTTGTTATTTTGTGGTCGGCGGTTGTTTAGTGGGTCGTTCAAGCTCAAGTTTATGTTTCGACTTTGTCATAATTTTACGTTTCGATGGTCTCTTACCGATGTAGTTAACGCATGATGTGTACGAGGGCTTAAGTTAATTACTAAAGGTTGGTTTTGTACCAATTATAGATGTAAATGCATGTAAATATGTTCCTGTGTTTATTTGTTTCTATTTAGGATTGTCCAAAAACTGGAATTTCGGCCACTCGGAATCCTCAGACCATAACAGCTTATTATGGAACTCTGTGTGTGTGACCGATAGTGAAGATAGTGTTAGTGGAGGTATCACTCATAGATGCCCATTAGTAACAGTTGGTTCCAGCCAGGAAAGTAAGTGGTTTTTTGTCACCTCCAACTCATTATTTCCTTCAGTAGAAATTTGTTATCATATGGTAACGATAAACCAATGGGTGCCTGCAGTTTATACTGTTTCACAATAAAGTCATGCGAATTACTTAATCCTCTCAAACGACATATCTCAGGAATGTTAGGCTCATCGCTCTATGCCTTATACAAAGCCATTCGGTCGAAAAATTTAAATCTTGCTGAAACCGCCAATTTCCTCATGACTTTTAGAATAATTCTGGCTTACATCTGGAAATATATTAATATGAAATAAACAAAAATACCTGGTACAGCGAAGTGCTAAAAACACACCACACGAATCTATACACACGTAAAAAACGGAACAGCATAATTAGGGCAAAACTATGAAAAGATACTGCTTAAATAAGAACATAAATCCCAGTTTTCTCAATGTACATCTTGCCATTCATGCAGAATTCAAAGAAAATTGGAGGATGACTGTCGGACTTAAACTTTAAGACATCCGATAGCATCTCAAACCATTTAGTTACATTATGAATTAAATCCCTATCCGATAAATTCGCCTCTTCAACAGTAATGCACCACACCGTGATCAACTCTCAGCAGCAAATTAGAGGATTTCATAAGTTTTTATGGAGTGATTGTAACTAATTATGACTAGTCTTAACCTATAATCTTTTTTGCATATAGGACAAGACACAATCTCATGTGATTATCCTACTAGAATCGATTTTAATAATTTAACATTTTAAGTCTGATAGTCCATAACCATTCAGTGTCTAACTGAAGCTCAACATGAAAATCGTAAGAACCATATCTGCTCTGTTGATGCAAAGTACGGCAAGTGAGACAAATACGCTACGTTGATATACCCACCCGTTTACGCGGGTTATCGATACACTCAGGTTGAGTAAATGTATGAAAACCTGTGACTAAACACATTAAACACGCAACTGAAACGATAACCAGATCTCAGCCACTGAGTTCTTTACAACTTGAAATAAATTAGTTATCAAGACAGTAGATGGAACATGTGATGTATGAAAGAAATCATTAGTTGTGTGGAGATACAGTAGCCGAACTTAATATCTTGGTAAAACAATTGAGTTATCAATATCACCTTAATTCTACCTCTTTAAAATCCATTAGTTCACAAATTCAATCAATATGGCAGGTTTCGCCTATTTTCCTAGTATATTTTTCTGACGTATAAAAATGATTATTCTGAACTTCGTGAAGTTTCTGTTAAGAAGATTGACTCCAAACAGATCAACGTAGTGGTTAAAGGATGTGTTGACCTGACTGACTGTTTTAGAAACCATTCATCACTCACAGACGTTTGTAGATGATAAATTTGTTTAACCAGCTCACCCTGCTCTCAGTAGACGTTGTATTACTAGTGGACGTACATCAAGCGGATGTAACGATTACATATTTCATTGTTCTCGGAATAATCGGTTCTAAATAATTTCCGTATTCTATGGTTTATCAGTTAAGTCAATTAGTGTGTCTGTTTCATTCATATTCGCAAGTGACTCTCGATACGCTTCGAAATCATCATCACAGCCTCACTTGTGTTATGTTTGTTTTTAATTTCCGATATTCATCATTGTTGGTAGATACTAGGAATATATTGATGTTAAATTTTCATCATCGTGTGATAATTTAGCTTACCAACCTAATGGTTTTGCATACATTTAGCTTTTTGGAATAGTGGAAATGTTCAACAATCCAACGGTCGTCCTGTACTTGGTAGTACCCGTCCCATAGTTCCGACACACAATCCACCGGACGAGTTTTCGTGGGATCCGGATTCGAACTTCTTAAGGTCCGGTGTCAATTCGAATGGTACTGTTTCGTGGGACACGTCACCCAGTAGCGTGGTCAGCACCACTTGGGGAACTCTTGGTGCTTCCAGCTTAATAAGTCCCATACAAACTCACTTCACACCTGTTTCAGATGATGTTAGGCATCAACAGAACTTCATGACTACTAACTCACTTCCTCAGGGATCTGTAAGTATTTCTTTCTTAATATGTTGAAATGACATTAAAAAGTTTAGAATTACATGATTTTATATTCAACCAAATAATTTGTTGTACTTATCAATCGATGCTAGTCTGAGCTGCGTACCGGCATATGGGGAGGAAGTAAGTAGTCCAGTTTCTGGCCTAACACTAAAAAGATATTGAGCTTACATAATATAGATTTGCATTTATTTCGTAACAAGTAACTCTGACTTTTATGAAATCCATAAAATTGTTTGCTCAAGTAATGATATGAAAACCAAAACCATAGTGAGCTTTCGTATCTCAATAAGTTAGAACAGATTAAAATACATATCGTAAAAGACATCTATTGTATGTTACTGTTGCATCTTGAGACGCTAACCAATACCGCGCGCCAAAGTGACTAATGAGGATCCTAATTTTGACTATGTCGCTTCTGCTACTTGTGTAGCATAGTGTCCCTGACTTGACCAATTATACGTCTGTCCAGCACTGTTGACTTAGAGTCGACACAGTTAAACTCCTATTAGTCCTCTATCCTTGCTTTAAGACCAGGAAGTCAGCGGCCAGTTTCCATTGTTTTATGGGGTAGCATAATATTACGACAGCCATTCTTAAATTACATTGATAATCATTAAGCTAATTAGAATATAGTTGGTACACAGGAATAATTTATTGTAAAATAATTAACAATTTTGAATGTATAAGTAGTTTTTACATGAATAGTAATGGATTTTCAGTGGAGTTTCCAATATTATAGTCATGATATGTCCGATATATAGGCTCATCCATCATTTGACTTGTAGACTCGAGAAAAATTTTTCAATCTGGCCCACATAGGTTCTACGTTGTTAGTGTGGACACCAGTTGTTGGGTCTAAAAAGTGCCTCATGTACCAACTTACGATGAATATATTTGTGTACATAAAGACACCAACACTCCTTCCAATCGCCTGTGTGAATTTTCGCTCCTGGTTACACACCGTTTAATAATTGGCAGGAGAATTGAAGCTTTTCTGTTTCCAATATATGCTGGTAATGTCCTTTTTGAATTGTTCGATCCCGAAATCCGAAAACCTATTAAGGATGAGAAAACTATCACCTACCCAATCCATAAATAGTTCGAAAACTAGTTTCGAAAATTCCAGCTTTACAATATTCGTCGTTCTATTTGTTTTGATGTAATTCGTTAGTTTTGCAAACAGTTATTTAATGCAATGCATCATATCAATACGGTTTATATGTTTTTTTTTACAGTTTCCCCAATTTTCTCTGATATGACTGTAACTTCAGTCCATCTATATTTATTCATCATAAAAGAAAGTTTTATCCACCATTTCTTAGTATTGTCTGCTAGTATCTTATGTTTCCTGTACTGGTTAGCAAGGCATTGATTGGATTAAAACATGTTCCATACAGGATTATGTTAGAACACACTGACCCAATTTTAGCTAATCAGCGCTGGAAGATAATTGGAGGTTCTAGGATATACTTGTACAAAATCATAACAATACTAACGTTTTTCTTACTGTGATTTTATCTCACTAGATTTGACTTGTTGTGATATATAATTACGCACCTGTCCAAGCCGTATTCTGATTTTGGGGACTAGTCGATTGAGGTAATGTATCCGAAGAACACAAAGCAATTAGGATGTGCGGGTCGTATAACAAAAGACTTTAAATCACTTTACTTCGTACTATTCAGAGCCCCGAAATACCCTGGTACGGCCGAGAGTGAGAAGAGTCCGTTCCCCCTCTCGAAATGCTCTCACATGACCGCGCGTACATAGCCTCTGCTAGGGATGTCCTACTCACTGCTTGCTCGTAGCCCTACTGTTTTTTACGAAATTGAGAGGACGAAAAGCGAATGTCCGGCGCTTTAACCGGGCTAGTGGACACGGAAAGTCCACTTAGGGTAGTTGGAAAACCCTTATTCCAAACCAATGGTGTACATGGGCTCCAGTATCCTGATGGAACAAATGGTGTATGAATCAGTTGTTGGTTACCGACTACCATGCGATTGCGCCTCCTGCTCCACTGCCTTGTAGATCAGACCTTTAGGTTGATTGTGTCCCCTAAAATACCACCTGCTTCAGTCTAGGCACCCGGACATTATCATAGCCCTCACACAAATCAAATGAGATTTGTGTGGCACATATATATCTAGTACCCGTTTGTACCAATATTTATGTGCTTAAATAAAAAAAACTAAATATTATTTTCAAATGAATTGGCGTTGCTCACGTTACGTAGCATATATATGTATATCGTGATTAAAATTCTTTTATCTTCCACAGGAACGATTACTAATTCACCCATACAGTAATACTTATCGCGCAGATCTGGTCAAATATTTAATGAGCCAAGGATTTAAGAGAGAAGATGCACATGCTGCGTTAATTGCCTCCAATATGGAACCAGATAAAGCTATAGTTGAATTACGGGAGCGTTACAGCACCAATAAGGCCATAAATGCCATGACACAACCTCCAGAGCTTAATCGTAATTATGGAGCTAATAGCGTTCAACACGTAACAAGAAACGGACCCATGCACCAGCTGTCGAATCATACGTCTTCATCTCAGCTTGCACCTTCTGGAAATAACTCTTCGGTTTCTGCACAAAATCATCGTCTGAAGCAGTCAGGGTTGTGTATGTCTACACAGAGTAATACAACTCAACTTTTATCTATGCAACCAGTTCCTAACTCTCAATTCATGCGACAGCAAATTACACAACAGGTAATATGTTCACTCCAAATTACTGCTTTATATAATTGCATATGCGGTTATATCATGTCTACTTTATGTACAACACCGCTCATACTTCCTTCAGCTGTTATCCAATTACTGACTTATCTTTTGGACTAAATGTGCTTCTAGGATATCGATTTCCTAAATGATGCTTTTTCAAAATGTTTCCTTGATTTACTATTGATTTTATTGTGTGATCATTATATTTTATGTACATTGAATAAATGACAGGCTCTAATCAGTGGACTAAGTCCATCTATTGGAGGTGAACTAACTAGTTTATTTTAATCGTTTAGTTTGTTGGATCACCAAGTCTAGGCCTGAATATTCAACCGTTTTATTCAGTAAGATTAAGACCTCACTGAATTAAGGATTCAAAATTTCGACCACTTTGTTAACTGTCTGAACGCTGTTCTGTTATAGTTTTTTGATATGCTTAAAATTAACGTATTATCTGTACGTCTTTAGTTTATAAAATTAGCTCAAGCTTCATAGGTTTTATTTCCTGTATCTTGGTATCTGACTAACTGATTAACCCTCTCAGTGTGACCTTCAACTTAAACATTTTGACCTACTAGTTTTACTTAAAACCTCGACCGCAGCTACTACCTTGACGTGGTGGTCGAGCTTGCCTGTCGTGATGACCCAACCGAGCTATATGGACTCGAACATATGTTCTTGTAGGTTCTACCATGTCAGGCAGGTCGATTGGAGAACGGTAAGACTATAAGCAGCAACTCAAGGTCTGATGGCGAAGTCGTACTGCTGATTATAGAGGGGTGTGACATCAGTAATGTATTTCCCTCGGACAGCCAGCGTCTGCAGTGATGCTGCCTTCTAACAAGGAATGAAGGGGTCAGAAAAGGTCGACCCTGAAAATGTCATGCCTCACCTCACGGATTTCCGCACTGATAGATGCTCGAAAACTCATCCCCCCTGGCTCTAAACATAACGAAGAGCGAAGTCAGCTTAAGCGAAGGCTAATAAGAAGCCTACTCAATGATCGTGAACAGTGGTGGGTAGCGAAAGCAAGAGAGATGGAAAAGGCAGCGGCAATAGGTAAAAGCAGACAGCTATTCAGACTTATTAAAGAAACCGGCATTAGGAACCCAACTATTAGCGAAACTATCTCAGACAAAGATGGGCATATCATTCATTCTCAATCCACGAGATTGGATCGATGGGCAGAACACTTTAGGGGTCAGTTCAACTGGCCTTCAGCCACACTTCAGTTACCCACGATCCCCAGTCGTCCTGAATGGCAAATTGAGGCAAGTCCTCCAACCCTCTGTGAGGTCGAAAAAGCTATAGGTAATCTAAAGCGAGGGAGAGCCGCAGGCCCTGACAGGTTTACCCCTGAGATTTTTAAGGATGGTGGTCCAGTACTAGCAACAAGATTGACTGAGGTCTTAGGTAGAATCTGAGAACTGGACGTAATTCCATCTGACTGGTTCCCATCACTGACTGTGCCAGTCTATAAGAAAGGACAAAAGTCCTCCTGTGACAATCACAGTAGAATCAGTTTGACTAATATAGTGTCTAAAATATTAGCTTCAATAATACTTGGACGCTTAACCAAAGCTCGTGAAGAGCAGACTAGAGAAAACCAGTCTGGTTTTCGAACTGGACATGGTTGCATAGATCAGATATTCACTCTACATCAGGTCCTAGAACATAGACATACATTAAGACGCCCCACAACAGTAGTATTTCTTGAACTTAAGGCGGCGTTGATCGTGAGGTTTCTATGGCAGTGTTTGTCAATGAAAGGAGAACCAAAGAAGTATATTAACCTCATAAAGGCTCTCTACTCGAACACAAATGGTCGAGTTGGAGCCTATGGCGAACTGTCATCAGAACTAGTTACCTCAAGTGGTGTTCGTCAGGGCTATTCACTCTCCTCATTTTCGTTTAATTTTGTCATTGACATGCTTTTAGAGATAACACTTTCATCATCTAAATCTCCTGGAGTTGAACTTTTACCGGGAGATTCACTTGTTGACTTAGAATACGCCGATGACATAGTTCTATTTGGTGAAGACGCTGACAAAATGCAGTCTTCTGACCACGATAAGCAACTATGCAGACATGTTCGGAATGCGATTCTCTCCCTCGAAGTGCAAAATGTTACTTCAAGATTGGGCTGCATCGGCACCTGAACTAATGATAGGGAATGAAGTAGTTGAGCGTGTTGACCGCTTCACTTATCTTGGGAGTCTCATCAGCCCTTGTGGTCTGGTGTGTGACGAAATCTCAGCACGGATACAGAAGGCTCGTCTAGCTCTCGCCAACTTGCGTCATTTATGGCGTAGGCGAGATATCCGTCTAGCAACAAAAGGATGGGTTTGTTGTGCAACAGTTCGTTCCGTCCTACTTTATGGCAGTGAAACATGGCCGATAAGAGTAGAGGATATTCGTAGGCTACTAGTATTCGATCATAGGTGTCTTCGAAGCATTGCTCGTATATCCTGGAACCACCGAGCCAGTAATGCAGTTAGGAAACGGGTACTACGTAGGAATGGCAAGTAAGCCCCCAAATGCCCTGGTATGGCCGAGAGTGGGGAGAGTTCGCTCTCCCTCTCGAAATACTCTCACATGGCCATGCGTAATATAGCCTCTGCGAGGGAAGTCCTACTCACTGCCTTCTCGTGGCGGGGGTGTTGTATACGAAATTGAGAGGACGAAAGTGAATGTCCGGCGCTTTAACCGGGTTAGTGGACACGGAAAGTTCACCTAGGGGAGTTAAAGAACTCTTATTCCAAACCAATGGTGCACATGGGCTCCAGTATCCTGAGGGAACGAATGACGTATGAATCAATTGTTGGTCACCGGCTTCCATGGGAATGCATCTCCTCACGATGCTCCACTGCCTTGTAGATCAGACCTTTAGGTGAAAGGGTCGGGGTGTGGCCCCCTAAGAAAACCACCTACTTCAGTTTGGGCACTTGGGTAGTATCACAGTTCTCACATAAATCTCATTTAATTTGTGTGGCGCATATGTATCTGGTACTTCCTTGTACCAATATTTATGTGTATAAATAAATAAAAATGAGGGATGGCAGATTTTTCACTTACTGTTACTGGGTCCGAGTTGCTATGAAACTTTTCACTGCACAGTGAAGACAATTTATTCCTTAACTTTATCAAGTTACCTGAAACAAAATCCGTTTATTTTGTTCTTCAATTTTTGTCATTCATTTGTACTCGAGGACTGATAGTATTTTTAATTTCCCTTTAGGTTCGATCAGCTTTAAACCTTTCCCTTCCAAGTCCGTTAGGTCTACAGACGAACGGAAGTGCCACAGTGGGAACTTGTGGTGGTTCGCTTTTGGGACAGCCTCCACCTCTTTCCTTATCAAGCGTTAATTCCAACATTCAAAATTCATCGTCCGCTAATCCACATTCAAGCACTAGCCTGCCAACTATTACTAGTTTATGTCCCATCAAAAATAGCCGTACATCGACTGGACCGATATCTTTAAACCAAAACTCAACAAAAAGGTCGCCCCGTCAAATTTCGATCATAAACTCCATGATTGAATTGCAGAAAAAACATCAAGTGGGTAGGATTGATTCAAATTCATATGCCTATTTATTTCATTTCTTCCTGTTTGTTGTCATTAGGACCTAAAAATTCCACTCATCACTAATTTTATTTTTGACTTACCAAATTCCTTTTACAATCCTAAAGCGAATTTCCTCCCGGGATGTGTTTCGAGGTACTGAATTTTTTGTCTGGTAGATACGAAATTGATTTGTGTGAAATTCTTGTCCTTGCCAAACCTTGACACAGAATGTTTGGTAGTTATTCCAAGGTTTTTGAAGATGTTGGGGATGCTAGATCCCCAGAAATAACTTGGTAAACGTCTTATTTTTGTAATTTTGTTTGCGCGCCGAAAGCGCCCATTTATACCCTCATATTGTATTTCTCACTTAAAAGGACTTTAAATATCATTGGTTCGTCTCCTCTTTTAATACTCTATTTTGTGACATTTATCAAGGGCATTTTTATATCGTATATGTACGCCTGGGTTGTGTGTTTGTTTGTTTGTGTTTCCAGGCTGTTTGTGGAATATCTTTTTCCCTCGTCTGAATCTGATCTTTTCTACTAGTTAGCAGGGCTGGGGGCACAGTGAATAATGTAGCTTATCCTGTTGTTGCTTTCCTGACTTTCGTTCCGTTCGCTGGTCTAGGTGATATCATAATCTCTTCAAATGTAGCAGAAGACTGTATATCGATAACAAATATTCCAGCAACTGAATCACGAGAAGTGTGAACTTTTATAAAACAAATTGTATAGAACTGAAGAACCTACAGTTTCTTGAAGGTTCAAATGAAATATAATGATTGCCGACATAACCTCTTTTGTTTTTTCGTTACTGCAACCAGCCATTATCGAGCTATGACATTCTCAATTCAAGTAGTGACTTCTAGAAATACTCACGATTTAGATTAACCGTATGCACGTTTAAAAATGTTACATTTCCCCAACCGGTGTTTACAATAAAAAATCTATATAACAACGCATGCTGAATAACTTATTTCGTCGGAAAAACACCCACTGAGCTGTATGTCTTGTGTTGAAATGATCTGATCTTGTTTCTTATCATCCTGATTACTCTTCTATTTTCTGCTTACAGAGTATTCAACATCAATTAAATATGTATCATAATAACCCTGCCCTTCGTTCACAACCTCAGTATGCGGACGTACTTGTTGAACTTCAAGGTCAAATGCAACAAATTGAAACTCAATTACACGGAAAGCGAGCACAGCTTAACATAACTCGTACTCAAGATTCTGTAACACAAGCTGTAAAGACCCCTTTATTACCGACGAACGGTTAGTTGTTTATGAAAGGTATTTTTCTCAACTCGAACTGTTGTTTATACTTCATAAGGTTAGAATGATTGGTTTTGAATATTGTACACAAAATGCACAACAAATGCAAGAAACTGAAAAAAATACCACAACTGGGACTATGATATGTTCATATCGCAGATTCATCTGGTAATCAGAAGTATATTAGTCGTTCCATACGGCTTGTTTCACCTCTTCCTCCTAGTCATCAATATAGCGGATAAACAAGGTTTTTACTCCGAATAACGTTTCTACACGTGCTACCTGAACTAAACTTTTCTCACCTGATCAGTCATCTACTCATAACCTGGCACTTGTGCATCGGTTCAAGTTGCCACACCATAACATAGCGAGATAATTCCAGTAGTAAGATCAGTAACTATAAGTGGTAGATGAAAAGATTGTTCACAGAAGATATGATCCGAGAAAATTAAATTGGTAGGGTAAAAAATTGCTTTTAAGGTAATTGAGAGACTTAGGATCTAAGGGAAGACAAAGAGTAAATGTACCTGCACCGTTGCGAACGATCCTGAGCCATATTGCCCAAAGTCTTCAATCATTGGTTGCGATTATCACGTGGACAACAACCAGGTGATTTGTACCTTTCTACACGACTTGGTCTAACTGTCAGTGACTTCATGGACTGATATCACGTTCTAGTTCGGCCGCCCGTGGCTTTCTCTCAACCTATTCTTACACTGACTAGCATCGCGTGTTGAGGTAGGTGGTGATCGGGCATACATGACACATCCTATACACCTCGGTAGATGAAGGTTCATTACCGCATCAACCAAATTGTAGGTATCACTTTTCAGTTTCTCAGCATTTCGAGTTTACGTACTAGATTAAAAACAAATTTTTGTCTTGTGTTTTGTTTGCTTTTTAGGTACCGATATTTCTGATAACTCGTTTCCTGCTATTGGAACATGGATTGCTCCTTCACCACATTGTGGTGAAAATTTTGATAAAAACACCATTGATGGATCAGGTATGTAAAACAAAATACTTTCTTTTCATCCTCAGTAACGTAAAAGTCCATGAAACACAGAATTGATCTCGTTGATTACTAAGCCGCCAAAATTTTATCAATTTTGTTTCACTACTGCCCTCATACTGGCGAGGTGACTAAATGCTCTATATAGCTTTTAAATTGTTTCCGTCGTTTACTAGAGTATGTATATATCAGATTTGTTAGTTCAACTTTTTGTTTAAATTCCGGCTTTCTCTAGGGTAATCCAACAGTGCCGACAATTGTATATTCGATACATTACAAGTCGAAAATCTAGAGAAGCTGTCAGTCAATTGTTAAAAAGAAAAGTTTATTCGAATATGGCTTGACATGATATCCAAGGACTGACGAGAACAATAGTGATACCTACCAACTATTTAAACAAAAAGGTTAATAATGGATTTTGGTGACGTTCACTGAATTGTTAGATTCTTGGATACTCATTCCTTCGGCCCCTAAATACGATGGGAAGTGAAGACAAGTTCACTTGCGTCGCTTATGGTGTGGACTAGATGTTCGCCCGCCAACTAATGAGGGAATATACTCATTATTTCTATTTTACTTTGTGGTTGCGAAACGTGGCCTCTAAAGGTAGAGCATATTTGTCGGTTATTAGTATTGTACTATAGACGTTTTTGACGGATTACTTATATACATCGGAACCACTGAGTAAGCCATGCTGAGGTTAGATGGAGGGTACTACGTAGGGATAACCATTCGGTTGATGCCGTAATGAACCTTCATCTACCGAGGTGTATAGGATGTGTCATGTATGCCCGATCACCACCTACCTCAACACGCGATGCTAGTCAGTGTAAGAATAGGTTGAGAGAAAGCCACGGGCGGCCGAACTAGAACGTGATATCAGTCCATGAAGTCACTGACAGTTAGACCAAGTCGTGTAGAAAGGTACAAATCACCTGGTTGTTGTCCACGTGATAATCGCAACCAATGATTGAAGACTTTGGGCAATATGGCTCAGGATCGTTCGCAACGGTGCAGGTACATTTACTCTTTGTCTTCCCTTAGATCCTAAGTCTCTCAATTACCTTAAAAGCAATTTTTTACCCTACCAATTTAATTTTCTCGGATCATATCTTCTGTGAACAATCTTTTCATCTACCACTTATAGTTACTGATTTTACTACTGGAATTATCTCGCTATGCTAGGTTATACGTGCATCTAAGTTACGGAATATATCAATGCAATCGTTTTCGGTTACAGTTGGTTGGTATTTCCATCTATTTTTCTATCTGTGAATATATTTGAAACCGCTAATTTAGCGAGTTTCCTTATTCCATGCTGACATGCGCTTAATTTATATTTCTTTTTTTCTGATACTAATTGTCCATTTACAGTTTCTAAAATGAGCAACTTCACACGCACTCCTACTTGCAAAATATCTGGTAATTGGTCTCCTACCTGGTCTTCATCTGCTATAAATCCATCATGTTCAAATTTCCGATCCATTCATAATCAATGGCAACTAATACATAATCAACAACGATGTGCTTTAGAGAGTAACTTGAAGTTTCCGGTGTCAAAAAACAACCTTTCGAGTACCCTATCTGGTGAAGCTCAGGGTCAATGGCTGCTGGTGCAGCCGCTCTTAGGATGGAACGGTACAAACATTCATAGTCTGCAAAACATTTTATCAACTCATTTCAAACTTACTAGTTTTCATGTTTTGAGTTCAAGCAGCTGTAGCGTACTAATAAAACTTCAAAATTTCGAGGATTCACTGCACTTAGCGAAGTTTTTTGGCGACCGTTTATCTGTAGAACCGTTGTCCGATCTCGATGCTCGCGTTCATTTGCAACAGCTAGTATGTTCCGTGTCAGTTTTTCGTTTTAAATTATTTTGTAAAGAAAGTCCTGCTCCTTATATTGAATTTCTTGAAAACTTTCAAGACGTTTTAAATGAGCAACTCTTAGCATTCTGCTTAGCAGATAACTTAGTACCATTTCAGTTGACATTATATCTGTAGCACCTCACTACAACATATAAGCACTACGATATTTGTTCCCAACAGTTGTAAAAACATCAGTAAGAAGTCAGTTTGCATTTTCGTTTCATTTAATCCTGTTTTGGTTATTTGCACAGCCTCCATACAAGCGCATTTTTGTTCTCGATAAGTACCATGTGTAGCGTTCATCCGATGACCTGTGATTTACTTTTGAAATACTACCCGCAGCTTTTCATCTAGTTTCTGTTCACATTTTTCCTGAGCAGTATTAATCTTTTTTTGTATAATTTTATTTTTCACTAAATTAATTTTTCCTAAAAGTATCTTATTTCTCCAGTTTTTAGATAATGTCTTATTTGAAAATAAAATGAGATAAAAGTAATTTTAGTTTTCCATTTTTCTCAGGTATCACACTCTATGTGAAAAGAGTAGTATAATCTCGAAATAATCGTTCTGTGTGTATTACATTTGTATAGCATTTGTTACTATGTCGACTACATGGTGTTTCTCAACATTTTTATTTTTATTTTAGTCTTTGAACGCTTTTGGAGATGGTCTAACATGCAATCAGTTTAATACATCATCTGATATACACGCCACGTCACCTAATTTGAATAGCAATGGACAGTTTTACTCCCCCATGAATTCAAATAGCAAAAAGCCCAATCCTCATATTTCTCGTTTCGGAATAACTGTATGTGGAAGCAAGTAAAGATTTCTATTTTTGAGAAAGATATTCGTCTCATGGAATCTCTTATTCTCTGAATATCTTAGGGAAGTCTTCCAATCTCAACGCTTTCACGTTCAGATTCACGTCTCTGAAGCGCAGCCAATCTGTTAGTAGAAAAGTTAATGACTTTAACTTAAATTATGCTCAAGTTTTGTCAGTATGTAATACTCTTTCAATACCCCTATTTAGTTCATCGTTTGCTGTGCCTGCGAACATTCTGTGATCCAATATTATTACAATCATGCGTTTTGAATTTACAAAATTATATGCGGATCAAAACTAGTCAGAATTGCCTTGTTAATTATAAGCGTCCTTTTTTATCCATTATCTCCCCATATAATATATATATATATATATATATATATATATATATATATATATATATATATATATATATATATATATATATATATATATATATATATATATACACTAAAATACCTCATTGCCTTTCACTCATCATTATTTCTGTGTTTGCGAATGTAGCCTAACTGTTTGCCTGTTGTATGTTACAGTTTTGTTTTTTAAGCCGTTCAGTTTTAGTAGTCTTTCATTTGTGTGCTTTTTTGGACAGTCTCTATTATCTGTAAATCGTTTCATTATTTATCTTTTTATAAAGAGACTTCTAGCATCGCCAAGGATTTAATGTTTCTGGTCTATAAGTCGAGTGTTTTCCTCGTCCGTTTTGAACAGTATTTAGTTTGCCCTAAATATTATATCATTGAGTGTACCTATACTTCATTTGTACTCTCTTAATTTTCCTCTATATGTAGTACATTTTGCGTGATTTCATTGAGTTAATCAATCTAAACTGAGAATGTATTTTTTCATCTTAGTACAACACAGATCATGTCGTTTGATAGACCCTAACTGTGATGTATTTAATTATGCTCATCGTTCTAATTTTCTCATCATTTCTCTCGTCTTTAAAATGCAAAAATTATTTGGTCTTTAATTCTATAAATACACTGTCCTAATTGTAGACCGGTGCAATATGTTTCTTGTCCCTCAAATCATGCTCTAGACATTACTTACCTACCTCTTAAGAACAGTAATTTTGTTTGATAAGCTTATAGCCCGTGCACCGTGTGTTATGTGTGTGTATGGTTAATAATACATTTTTCTTCTGACCTCAATAAGTGTGCATCATATTATCAAATTATCACTTAATAATTATAATAAAAGAACTATAATCTACTCTGTCATTAGAAATGCTTAATTTTTGCAGATCCATCCGAAATTACATAACTTCATTATCATTAATATATATATATATATATATATATATATATATATATATATATATATATATATAATTGTTATTTAATTTTTTTTAAACTCCGCCAATTATTGAGATATGTAAAACATTTCCAATCAAATGGTCATCTGTTATGTACTTTGATTGTAATTGTTGCATCCAGTTTTTTCTCTGCACAATGGTCAATCTAAAACTCAAGTTAGGTTATTCTGCTTCTCTTTATCGTGTACGAATATATACTTATTCCTTCTTATTTAATTATTTTGAACTCTGAATAATTCTGGCTGTTTATCACAAGCTATTATGAGTTAGTCTTTCTAATTCTCATGTCTTGTTGTTGATTGCATTTTCCTTTAATAATTCTAGATATAACTATACTTTTGTGGTTACCTTTCTGAATATTCTGTCTAAATTGTTTTTACGCAGTCGATTTTGTTATCACAACGACTAAGTTCTTTAATTTATCATGTCATGGGCTCTCTTTTTCTCTGCTAATTAACTCATTCCGGTGCAAAGCTATATCATGCTGCAAAACTTCCTTAAACCGCATAGTCTCTGTATTTTCCTTCGTTTTGTAATTCCTGCCACATCTTAAAAAATATCTTCGTTTTTTAACTTAGTGGATTGCTAAATTATTATACCTACTTATTACCTTTTACTTTAACCTGTGATCAGATCCTATGTGTTGTAGCTACTGCGCACCTATCTCGCGTAATTTGATGTATTATTTCTCATTCCATTTATGAGCCATTGTTTTTCTTTTATTGTTATGTTCGTGTCCTATCTGATCTACATTTCCAGGGATCCACAACATTTTTTGATGCTTTTCGTGCCTATGCTAACTGACTAGTTAGCATTATTCATATCACATATGTGCTTCCACTCAAATATGTTTGACAACGTATGGTGTCAGTTTACAGCTGCAAAACAACTTAGGAAGTGGACTCACATAACATGATTAAAAGCCCCCTATTTTATTCAAATGTTCTTTGGTTGTGTCCAATGTACTCCCAAATTAATATGGTCCTATATTTCTCCACATATCCTGGATGCTCACAGATCAGTGTAAACTTTCATAGTTCAAAAATCACTGTGCTCTGTTTTGAAACGTATTGGTGCGATGTATTGGACCTAATAAGTCGTCCAGTTTCATTTCCAACTGTTAGGACTCAGCATTCTTTTTTTCTGTGTCCAGTGTTGGATTTACAGTCGTGTTTTCCCCTTTGTTAAGCATAATGATGTATTTGAAAAAATTACCGGATTTTATTTTATAATAGATTTGCTGTTCTTTCACTTTATGTTCATTAAATATTTCCGTCATTCTCATATCTCCTGCCACCTAAATTTTCGACCACCTTTGCTGTACTGATACTAATTATCATCCAGTAAAGCATTGTGATCTCTTAATTGTTAGGAATATTTTAGCAAAACCCAGCTGGTTCCAGGGACCTTTATTTTACCCTTTAAGACAATGTTCTCTCCGAATTATGCTAATTAATAAAGCTGAAAGTTTTTCAGTTTTCACGTGACTTCTTTCTGGATTCTACTATCGTCTATCTAATGTCATCGTTGTTACCAGCTCAGCTTTCTAGATTACGAACTTGCCATTTTTGCGCCAAGTTGTTTAACTTATTATTAACTATTTAGCATTGTTTGCTGTGCCCAGTAGATAAAGGTTTTTAAGAAAACGTTCAAGTTGTCTTGTTTTCACTGTTGCTTCTGAGTTTGGTTAATAAACGTTTCTCTCCGTGTGTTCCATATTTTTCTACGCGGATAGTTAACTCGGATTTCATATTCAAATTCTCGAAAACTTATTTGTTCATTCTGTTGGACAATAAATCTTAACGTCAAATCCTTCGTTTTAATTGCTCGTAAAAAGTGTACAATCCAAGTTGAACATAGTTAGTAGTCAAAACCTTTGGTAAATCTTTATAGCCATATATGTTCTTCTATTAGGTATCCAGAATCACAACGTTGGGGGCGTCAAGTTGAGTATGTTAGTCTACTTAGCATATACTTTATAGACTAGTAATGGCGATGACAATTACCTAAAATTACGACGCAATAATTGATATTCGCAACTTAGAAGCAATTTATAGACTAATTGTGCATTTTGAGAGGTATTATGTAAGCTAAACATGATTTATTTTCTAAGCATTACTTGTTAGTTACCTCCCAGTAGCAAACTGAGATTAACTTCACGAAACTAATGAGTAATCGAAACCCTAACAGCTTTTTGTGGCTGCGATAAGCATCACAGGATGGCCCCCAGATGCCCTGGTACAGCTGAGAGTGAGAAGAGTACGTTCTCCCTCTCGAAATTATCTCACATGACCGCGCGTATATAGCCTCTAGCAGGGAAGTTCTGTTCACTGCCTTCTCGTGGCGGGAGTGTTGTTTACGAAATTGAGAGGACGAAAAGTGAATGTCCGGCGCTTTAACCGGGTTAGTGGACACGGAAAGTTCACCTAGGGGAGTTAAAGAACTCTTATTCCAAACCAATGGTGCAAATGGGCTCCAGTATCGTGAGGGAACGAATGACGTATGAATCAATTGTTGGTCACCGGCTTCCATGGGAATGCATCGCCTCACGATGCTCCACTGCCTTGTGGATCAGAAATTCAGGTCAAAGGCTCCGGGTGTGACCCCCGAAGAGAACCACCTGCTTCAGTTTGGGTAGTATCACGGTTCTCACACAAATCTCATTTAATTTGTGTGGCGCATATGTATCTAGTGCCCCTTTGTACCAATGTTAATGTTTTTAAATTAATAATACTTATCCCTGTTACCCCTCTTGGAGGAGGTTGGCCCGCTGACCAGGGTTCCTCAATCTACTCTGTTCTGGGTTTTCCTTTCCAATTGCTATTCATTTTTTTAATATTCGCCTACGATTTCCGATGTAGTATGTTTTTTGGTCTGCCTCTTTTCCTTTTACCTTGAGGATTTCACATTAGAACTCGCCTCGTCATCCAATGTGATAAGTTTTGAAGTGTGTGTGTTACTCAACACTTATTTATTTATTTAAACACATAAATATTGGTACAAGGAAACACCAAATACATATGCGCCATACAAATTAAATGAGATTTGCTTGAGGGCTGTGATACTGACCAGGTGCCCAAACTGAAGTAGGTGGTTTTCTTAGGGGCCCACACCCGGAGCCTTTGACCGAAAGATCTGATCCACAAGGCAGTGGAGCATCGTGAGGTGATGCAGTCCCATGGTAGCCGTTGACCAATGACAGGTTCGTCCGCCATTCGTTCCATCAGGATACTGGAGCCCATGTGCACCATTGGTTTGTAATCAGGGTTTTCCAACTCCCCTAGGTGAACTTTCCATGTCCACCAACCCGGTTGAAGCGCCGAACATTCGCTTTTCGTCCACTCACTTTTGTGAACAACACCCCCGCCACGAGAAGGCAGTGAATAGGACTTCCCTGGCAGAGGCTATATATTCGCTGACCATGTGAGAGCAGTTCGAGAGAAAGAGGTGACTCTCGGCCGTACCAGGGGCTTTCTCTTCAGTTGGGCGTTAGTTTGTTCTCATGGTAGGTTGTTGATGATGAGATCTGTTATGTCCGAATGATGAATAAATGAATGGTAACTTCAGGAATCACTCAGGCTACTTTTGGTGATATTTATAGTAGTTCTCCAAGTTTCAGCTCCGTTTAGTAGGACTGTGTTGACGTTCGTATTGAAGATTCTGACTTTGATATTGGTTGACA